AAGGCGGTATTCCAGGACAAATAAGTAATTTAATTTTTTAATTAAATTTTATATTATTGTAGTGTAATATTGTTTTGCTGTAATTTTACTGTAATTCATGGTACACTAATCTTTTCCTTCATTTTTTAAGTAGCACATACAGAACTTTTGATTTTGGCTTATTTAGAAGAAGTAACGTTAGAAGTATATCTAACTTGTAGGTACATTAGCTTAACTTGTTATTGCTAATTGTCCTAAGCGAAGCCATTAAGGTTCTCAGTAAGCGTTACTTAGGTTTACTGCAGCAAATAGCTTTTACAGTAGGACAAGTGGTTTAAGATAAGTGCATCTGAACGGATCCAGTTCATCTGGTCCAATGTCCTGAATGCTCTCTGTGACGGCTTGATGAAGGAGGGAAACCGTTTGGAGAAATGGCTGTTTCATGCGACCTTCACCACAGATGACAGGAAGGAATGGCCGCCTTTGTGTAAAAGAGGACACCTGTATTCAAGGACAAATAGGGAAGAAATCCTGGCTGAAATATAATATTAAAATTGTTGTCATTTTACAAGAAAATATCATAATATCATGTTGTAATATTATTTTGTTGTAATTTTACTGGAAAACATATTGTATGCTGGTATTTTTATAAGCCCCCTCAGTAACTACTGTAAATTCATAAAATGGCGCGTCACTCAGTGACCTTGGAGAGCAGAGGCGCAGGACGGGAAAGTTGGAGACAAACAATATTCAGAAAATTCATGGTACATTAATCTTTTGTTTCATTTTTTAAGGAAGTAACGTTAGAAGTGCATCTAACTTGTAGGTACATTAGCTTATCTTGTTATCGCTAATTGTCTTAAGCGGAGCCATTAAGGCAGTAAGCGTTTGATTTACTGCAGCAAATCGCTTTTAATCGATTTATCTTCCAATAATTTCTTACGTTAAATAACTTGGTTGCACGCAGCAGGAAAGTAATTAATTTGGTTAAAGAGACTGGGTTTTAGCTAAATTACGTCGAGCAGCGGTTGTGCCAAAAAACCAGACTGTTTCCACAGATTAATGTTATTACAGTCGAGCACGGTTATTACGATTTTCTGGGGCCGGCAGATTTCTTTCGTTATAACCGAATTTCGTTATATCCATTTTCATGTAAGATTGCTATGTATTATGACTGATCGCTATAGGCACATGTATTATGACTGTATAAAATAACACTGACCTTCTAGTTCTGTCTATGAAGCTTTGTTTCATGTAATGATTAAAATAAAACATCTTTTTTACTATCAAGCAACGTGTATTTTGTAATTCAACAACCATTTAGTATGGACCACGAAATCGATAACATATTACATGGTGGTAGAACGCTACGCACAGAAAAAAGGTACATCTATCAGTTAAAAATGAACTTCCCACAGTGATTTTCTGAAAATATTTAAATCGCTATTATTTTCCTTATCAAACACAATCAGATTTCATTACAATTGGAGCCCCCATTAATAGAAAATTCAAAAAATACCCACAGATGTTACTGTAATCTTCTATTCGTAAGCGATATTTGGGCGCCATTGCATGAAGCGCAGACGGCTACCGCACAGACCATTTCTGCTACGCGATTAAGCTGACGTCGGACTTATTTTAAACTATTAAATCTGGAATGATTGAGGCAAATCGTTATAACCGAATAAAAATTCATTGAAATATTTCTTTGGGGAAGACAGTAGACATCGTTATAGCCGAATTTTCGCTATAAAAGAATCGCTATATAATATGCGTGTTTTCTTTAAGGAATTTAACGTTACTGAAGGTCGGGGATTTGGAATCGAAGCGTTACAAGCGTGTTTTCGTTATAATCCGAATCGTAATAACTGTGCTCGACTGTAGTGTACAGTATGTACAATATATATATAATATACGCACACAGTGTTGTAACGACGATGGACAGCTTGGCTGAAATCACCCTTACGAGAAAGTGTACTAAAGTGCACTTCAGAAAGTACACTGTTTCTAAAAAAAAAAAAAGTAATATATTTTTACTCATATATTATTCAAGATAACGTTGCTGCCTTTCGCCTGTTATTTGTGGTGCTTAATTCTCTGGTAATCACTGGCTGTTTGGAGCTTTAGTAGCATTTCGGACAAATCGATATTTTCTCTTAGTCCGTGAAATTTGAAATCTCATAATAGCACACCTATAAACAGAGAAGATTTAGGCTGTGACGAGATATATGCTATAACGTACGTTAGACCGAGATCCATATTCAAAACTGCCGTCTAACAGCGCCATGGGGCGATGTCAATAATAGAACTACCAGACGTTCAACGATCGATTATTATTTGAATTCAAACAGTTTCCACAGCTTTTTATGCAAAATGTTCCACTATGTAAATTCAATCTGTGTGACCATGTGTGTAATATCATCTTTGACTTTGGCCAAAACACAAAGCTGCACAGTAATACATCTAATTATGTGTATTAGTGTGGGGCGCCCGTAGTGTTTAATTCCTCAGCATGGAAAGTAGCTGTTGACTGTCCCAAAAATCGCTATTAGTCGCTAAATGACGCCATCGCCTCATTTGTATAATGTGCAATCTGCATGTAATTACTATGATGGACGCTGTAGGAGAGAGGAATAATGTCGTGGGTGAGACAAAAGGTGGTTAAAAAAACACCCTAAATATATCACAATTCCAACCCTCCTCCTTTACCCGGACTTAGGACCGGCAAAAGTGACCCCAAAGAGACACTATGGCGGTCACTTATTTTTGATTAAGCCAAGGCAGGATCAGCCAGCGGCGGATTCGCGCATGCGCGGTTCATTTGCAGTCTGGACGCGGAGGGGCGAACATCTCCTGCTCTGACTGCAGCTGGGCGGGGCTGGTGCAGGAGGACCGGCAGCCTTTGAGTGCTTTGGGACGGGAGAGGAGCCCACGGCAGCACCCGATGCTCGGGGAGAAGAATAAGAACGATACGTGCTTTCACGGCAAAGTCTACAACAACACCAGAAGAAGTCGCTGGTCGCTTTTTTTTAAAACGAGTCGCTAGAGAGGTCTAAAAACTCGCCAAATATAGCGACAAAGTCGCTAAGTTCGCAACACTTGATCATACGTTTAACGATCGATTACTATTTGAATTCAAACCAATGTTTCTCCTACCATTATATTAGGAGGGCACCCCCCCCCCAAGGGCACCCCCCCTTGAAGGTCAAGTTAATTTAAATTTTATTTTATTTTCTATATAGCGCCAGATCACAACAGAAGTCATTTAAGGTTACCTTTCCTATAGAATATTGTCCTTTTATTAAATAAACTAAATAGCCTTATGTTATTTATCTTATTTACACAACAGCTTGTCGTTTTTGTCTCTACACGGTCGCACGTCTACATTTCTCCTCTGCTCTCCGTATCGCGCGTGGCGGAGTTCCGCTCCGATGGGCGCGCACACACAGGTGAACACACTCCCACCAGCGGACAGAGAGCGCGCGTCGAAAAATATGAAAAGCAGACAAAAATTTCCGCGTTTCTTTGAAGTCCAGAACGATACACTGCAGTGACAAAAGCTGCACACTTTGTGGATAATTGTCATAAAAAGAAATGTTCTGATGTTTAGTTTGTCATTCAAAGAAACACATGAACACCATGAATCCTGTCGGTGTCCGTCTGCCCCCTCCCCCACCACAAAAAAAGCTGTAAACCTAGGGGAAAAGCTTTTTATCCAAAATGTTCCACTGTAAATTCAATGTGACCATGTGTCTATAATACCATCTTTGAATTTGGCCAACACACAAAGCTGCACAGTAACACATCTAATTATGTGTAATGTGGGGTGCCTGAATGGTCAAGGACATATAAATTCACTGCTCTCAATGCACACATAGATGTGAAATTTTCATATATATAGATACGAAACTTTAAGCACTTTTATGCATCACTTTCGACAAGGACTGGAAATTCATTGTCCTTTTAAAAGATGTGCTATCGAGTCTGTGGTAGTTTGCTGTTATGCATCCCACGTTTCCAGGAAACACAGAAACAATGGTGTGGAACATCTAGAAGACCTTTAATTATAGAGTCAGGATCAGTCAGATGTTCCAGAGCCTAGCAGTTGTGATGATCCAGAAGATGTCCATTCTATTGATGAAAATCTGTTTTTGCAGAACATTACACTCTTTTTATCTAAAACGACAGGCTAAATTATTATTGCTTGAATGTACTATTCAGACAATCATTGGTGGTTTTCAAAATGTCCATGACATTGGTCTGGAACAGTTACATAAGAAATTAAGCGATAATTATATAATGAACTCCAGACGATTCTCCTTTCTGATTTCACATCATCACAACACGCATGTGCAGGTTATCGGATTGTTATATCACTAATATATTACTTGTTAAAGTATCCATTAATTGTATCCATTGTGAATGATGTCCTTATTTTTTAAAAAGAAGATAAAAAGCCTTTTGTGTTTTGTCTCTGACGACTAGATATTTCAATTTGGAACAGGGTTAAAATTGGGGATTGCCCTTCCCATAGATGACAGTGTAATAGTCTGTCAAGTGGTCATATAGTAAACTTCACTGCCTGTCAATGCTTAGTTGATATTTTCTAATTGCAGTGAAACCTTCTGAGGTAGCTACAGTGCTGGTGTTCATTCCAGATGTTCATACACCATTCAATGCGACATCTCACCCTGAAAGTATTGTTCAGCTGCATAGGTGCCGCGTTCCAAAGCAAACCAAAATCAGTTTCTCCAGGCTGACTGAGCAGAGGAAACGCTACAGCTGTGTCCCAGCTTCCTGGAACAATGAAGGGCTTTGGCTGTTCCTAACCATTCCTAGAGTGTTGCTAACTCTACCGTTAGCAGTAAATATCAAGCTTCCTGTTGATCGTGACAAGTGGCACGTGGACGTGTTTGACACACTGAAGCAGGGATTCACAGATATACAAGAGGACAGAGCCTAGATGTTTTAGACGACCAGGGATAATCTGCTTCAGGTCATTTCAATAATGAAAATGAACATTTTGCATACATTTAGACTTTATTGTGTAGAAATACAGAATATTTATCATCTAATTATATAAACAGTTTCAATTAATGAAATTAATGTATTGTCTTCATTATAAGTGAGTGTGTTTGCTCTTGGTCCATAAAGGCTGATCTATACTTCTGTGTAGAATCTACACCATAGGTAGCCGCATAGCAGTCTTCCTTACACTGTAGACTGAAGCCTGTAGTGACATTTCTGGAGGTTTGTGCATCAGGCTACAGCAGGGACACTTCTACCTACTCTGTGGATTGTACGCAGAAGAATAAATCAGCATTGAGTAGTCTGCTGTGTTCCCCCAGGAAATGAGTTGCTTGACTTTTTCAAACCTAACCCCAGGCCTGGAAGGTGGTCTTAGAGCTTTTCCGCCAGCGTGGTGCTTTGCTAGAGTGTCCCAAAACAGCCCTTTGACTGTTTATGTTCTATTCAGCCTTGTCTCAGGACTGCAGCTGTGGGGGGGGGGGCTTATGTTTGAGGGTTCATGAGATTGACCTGTCCCTTGTTCTGGGATTTGTTTAAATTACCCAAAGTGTGTCTAAGAACCAGCAGGTGGTTGGATTCCTTTGTATCTGACAAAAGGGCTTTAGTCTTTTCTTGGGTTTGTATTTTGTGTTGTCTGGATCCCCTCATTCCTGCTCATTCCTGTGTCACATGGTCTGGTATGCCTCTCACACTGTGAGACCACCATGAACTCCAGACGACGCTTCTTTCTGATTAAAAGTCATCAAGCAAATAGCAGTTCGGCACCCTTCCCAGGTCATGTGACCTTTATCGAGCTCTTTTTCTGGACACAGAGGAGGGTGACATAGGGCACCCCGATGAAGGCCCACCTCTCACTGGGCCAGAACATGATGACGGGGCCCCGCTCGGGGGCCTCGGTAGCAGCGTCAAGATAGGCGAAGCACACGCAGCCCAGGTAGGAGGCCAGGCAGATAAGGACGTGCCTGTGAGAGAGAGAGGGATGGGAGACGGCAGGTCAGACATCCAGCCCTCACTGCCGCTTCTGCAAGATCGTGGATGTTTCTCAGTATCCGTCCCTGACTATACTTCTGTTCTCCTGTACCCGTTTTATGTCCTGTTCAATTGCCGAAGACCAATTGCAAGAACAGAAGTAGAGGCGTAAAGTTCCCCTCATGTCATTCTTGCCCCACCCCAAGTATCAAGTATACACAGTGTACAAACACGTAAATCCACACGCCAAATAACTGTGGCAATGCTATAGACTCCAGCGCTCCAACAGGCAGCTAAATATTCCTAAATCAACGTCACAGCCATGGCGGACGCTCGGGGTACTTCCCCAGGTCACCTACCACACGCAGTGCAGGTATGGGAAGTTCACAGAGGACCATGTCTCACAGAAGATCCAGTCACTGATCCAGCAGAGGATGCCCAGTGTCCACCACAGGGCAGCGATCAGTCCCAGCTTGAAGACACGTGGGTTGTCACACCTGGGGGAGAGGAAGGCAGGGGGACAGGACAGCCAATAAATGCACAACCATTAACGTATTAATACGTAAGCTAATACGTAGGCAACAAACCGCCATTGTTCAGCAAAAGTCAATGGAATTTGGGTTGCTTAGCAAACTGGTCTCAGCTTGGGTTATTTTGCATCAGAAGAACGAAATGGAAGAATTGTACAGGTCCTCAAAAGTAGAAACACAGCAGCACATGCCCACAGCCTTCATCAGAGCACAGCACTAAGCTAGACAGGGTTACCCAAAAAGGGACCATCCAGAAGCATGAGACAACCAGGAACTGCAGAATGTCAGCATGGAGACATGTGACCACAGGTGCATCAGTGGAGCCACTTCGATCCCTGAGATTGATGTCACCGGCTTTCTGATTCATGGGTTTGGCTGCTGGATCGGCAGAAACACACAACCCCCCCCCCCCCACCCCACGCACATGCTCACATCTGCAGGTTAGCGTTCAGCTCTGAGCTGCCGTGGGAAGCTGGCTGGCCGGCCGGAGGCCGAGGAAGAGCACAGGAAGCCTGCAGAGCGGAGGAGGCGAGAGAACAAGCTGTGATATGAGAATAGAGGAAGGTGGTGAAAGGGAGGGCATGAGGGAAATTGAGGTAGGCCAGCAAAAAGATCCATTTGTGGATGCATTACATAGCAGGACTAACGCTGATGTTGTTTCTAATGATGGCTAAAACAATGCTTTATGAACCACTTGCTGTATTTTCTGACCCCACTAGATGGCGCTTTCGGTTCAAAAATGGGCTCAAAACATACCCTAAGGTAATCCAAGACCACCATTCAGTGGGGTGAAAAAATATAGCAAATGGCTCATGAAGTGTCATTTTGTCCATCACTAGTTTTTTCCCCTCAAAATACATAGATGCACGGAGTCAAAGACGCATGATAGGAGGGAAAAGGTAATGGGACTGAATTACGGACGCGACTCCCATGGGTCAACGTGAGCCATTATTAACCGGCTATTCTTAGCCTTTCCTGTTCCTCCCATGTCCGCACTGATAGCCCACACTGCCACCTACCACCTGACATTCCATCCGGGTAAATGCTGTAGGGAGTCTTCCAGGAAGCACTGCTTAACTTAAGCCAGGCCTGCAACACAAGAGCTCAGCCTAGCTTCCCCTACTCAGGCTAAACATATTCACACATTCTCAAGTGCTTCTCACATCTGTGTGAGCAGGACCCATAGGCCCTACAGACAGCAGGAATCACTGATTGAAAGTCAAGCTTGATTAGGCTAAGCACAGCTGGATATTATCCATAAATAGCTGAGTAAGTAAAGCATCAGCGCTCCCTGTGGGTGAAGAGGTGTAGGAACAGCATGCTGTAGGACGCTGAGTGGGGAAGAAGAAAAGCAATTCTTCCACCAGCAATTCAAGGAGGAAAGGCTTCACAGGCTACGCCCACATCCTGAGCATTTCCTGCCTTGTTAGAGCCAGGATAGAGGTAGGGTTTCAGCCACAAGATCCCAGCTCCAGCTTGTCTGGGAGTAACTATAGCATGCTGTTTTTCAGCTCCTGTGAAGACTCCCTTCGTGTCTGCTGTGATCCCCACCTCTTGAGCTCAGCAAAGAGCAGGACAGAGCAGGGAATGCCAAAGACCATCAGGGAGAAGGAGTTGATGGTGGGCTTGATGAAAGCCAGGCCGGTGGAGATGCCCGAGAGGATAGCAATGACCACTTTGAACCTTGATCTGCGGAGGAGAAGGATGCCGTGAGTCCCATAAGGAGGATATCAAAGCCAATCAGGGTGATGGTAATCACAAACTGTGAAGGATATCAGGCTTCCACACACAAAAACGGCTACAATCCCTCATGAACAAATTCGCTGGACAAGAGCAAGCATGTAACAGGTAACTCCAACACTACGACCACTGCAGAAAGTCTGACCCATTCACCATCTACAGAGGGCCAACATTTACTATTTGGCTGTTACAGCTACTCAAGCTTTTATAATAGTCTCAATTATTCCCTACATGGCATTAATCACTGGAGCTCCTGTGAATTTGTTTTGAAAAACACTACAGCTTCATTGGATTATGACATCATCAAACACTATAATCAAAAACCTGAGAGGAAGTGTCTAGTTTTGCAATTCCCTTCAGACTACAGACAATGTAAAAATGATGGATGGCAACACATGTTTTGAAACATGTCTTGGAATTTGCACTTTAAGCAGTGATATCAAAGGTCTTGGCAGTCCTTTGAGTCCTATTCAGCTGGCAGCCAATTTCCATTCCAAGTATTATTCCGATTGAGTCAGACATGAGGAGGGAAATATGGCACCTTCTGCTCCCACAGTGTACTTACGTGCCAGATGTGAATGATGAGAATCATCATGCCACCCATGTGACCCATCAGGCTCGTTATAAGTCCTATCAGGGACCCTAACACCCGGTCGCTATCACACCCTGCTATTAAACCTACACCATGAATCAGCCGCTAATGACTCTCTGCAAGCATGTGGGTATGAACTGAAAAAGAAGTCGTCTTGGATGGAAGAGTGACATATCAGATGCCCCAGAAGAGCAAATAAAAAAATAATACCAAAAGTCACACAAGCAATGCAGTGCTAGCCACACAATGGTAGCACCAATGATGTAGCGACATGCCATTGGCTCACCTGTCCCTGCGGAAGACCTTTGGCAAGTATCTCTTTGGGAACCACATGGCGATGCCGCACATGAGCACCCAGAGGATGGCCAGCTCATCCAGCATTTGCCCAAGGAAGCTGAGGGTCGCATGGAAATATGTTGATCCGATACCTTTGGGTGACAGAAACCGAGCACGACTAGGTGAGCCATTAAACAATAAGTGGTATTTTTGGTATTTTAGGCCAAGTTTTGAACAATTACAAAAAAATAATGAATAATAAAGCTGTTTCACCAAAGGAAACAAACTTTCTAATCCAAGAACAAAAGCATAATGGGTACATATTCTGAAACAAGCAAAATTGAGTAACTGTTTCTACGAACACATGTTAATATCTTGTGAAACAGAGGGCCGTGTGACCAAGCAGATTCTCAGAGAAATGACCCAGGCTGAGGGTCATGACTTCCCAGAGCTCTAGTGCAGTAACCCCGGAGGGTTACTAAAAGTTTATCAACAGCATGGCGTTATCAGAGCAGCCCATGCACTGCTGCACATCTGTCGAGGGGCGTCACTGGAGCCTGGTGTCCTGTGATGATCTTCCCATGACGCAGGACTTCAAACAGTGAGCAAGACACCAGAGCCACCGTGAATGGAGCAGAAGCTGACGAACCTGAGAGTTTTCTTGCATGAATGAAAGTACTGCATTCCAAAAGTCGCCTAAGTCTCGCCCCTCGTCTCCCGTGAGAATACTACACAAACCACCGATCACCAAAGAAACTGGCTCATTGTTTCCCCTTTCAGAAGAGTGGCTCAAAATACTCACCTACAAAACTTGTGCTAAGGGTGGATTTGTGGAGTTGTGAAAGAGCAAATTATGGATAAACAGCACAAGTGGCATGAGGCCAAGGCAGCTGGAAACTCTGTAAAATGAACATCATCTAGGCGGTGCTGTATTTCATTCCAGTTCCTGTCCCAGGCTCTGTCACTCTGCAATACCACACTTTGACAGCTCAGTAACTAGGGACATGAATTTTGACGAAACGCTCTGCCCCTGTTTTGTAGAGCTTTGCTTTGGATGTCAGCGACAGGTCATGCGCAACCAGGCTGCTTCTCAAAAGTTTATACTGAATCACATTATTCTTATAAATCAACTTACCAACCACCACCAGAAGAATCCACATTAGATATATTCCACTGTTGAAATGTGTGGCGTACTGACGAAACAGGCACATTAAAATAGGTGGCAAAATAAAAAACAGTATATTGCTGATCTGAAATGATATAAATGGCAAATTAATAAATTCAAAATCAATAAACAAAGATTTTATCTTAAAAATGTCAACAGTTGAAAACAGGACAAACTGGTTGGCTTGTTTTCCAGTGTTATACTGGAGCGCATGGTTGCCTAGACTGACTTTTGCTATCAGTATAGATATTTATAATAAAAAAACTACTTATAATAGAAACATTTTAAGGGACTAGATATACTACTTACGGCAATACAACACATCTATATACCATTTTATCTATATACATAAATTTACTCTATGTTTTATTTAGCTGGAAACTTATAAGATTTTAAGAGAATACCACTGGCTTAATTTGACATCCATTTCAATTTCATTAAATAATAAATGCACTTTTTATATGTGCAACGAAATGCATAGACCTAAAAAATGAATAAAAAAAAACTATGTGACAGCACATCGTTACATGATCAAGTATGCATATTCGAAAAGGCAATTAAACATACAAACCGTGTTGTAAAACTCCGCGATGCCCGAGTAAATTATGTAATTGCCCTCACACCAGTCCACTTCAGAGCTGCCAGCTTGCAGGTGATCCCAAAGCATCGGGCTGCTCATGTCTGTATACTTCGTACTGTGGATTTGTATCCACTGCAGTCACCAGGTCAGAAATACAGGCGATGACCAGAAACGGCGTAAAATATAACCTAAGAGAACGTACACAACACTGGGCAGTCCGTATCGTGCTGTCAAAAGTTACCGAGCTATAGTTGCGCTGGATATTGCCCGTTCACGATCAGACTCAAAATGCTACCGCCTCTTCTGGCTCGCAGCGTGCACAGCAACGTTCTATTCGCGCATGCGTGAGTTTTAACAAAAATGAACTTTTTAAAACCTTACATACCCCATTTCGTAATTATAATAAATAGGTATTGATATTACCGGTATTTGTTCATAAAATGTAATTTAATCTTTATTCTCCAGTGGTATTCTCGACCTTGTACTCTGATCTACCTGGGATATGTTACAGCCGAAAAAAATACAGTTTATATGATGGATGGGTGGATGGATAGTCCCTTGGAACTATAATTTGATATTATATTTTTATTTACAAAGCATTACTTGAAATTGAGATAAAGTTAGCCTTATCTCTACCACGAAAGATTATGGCATACTATATTGATTAATAATTCCAACATCATTCAAAATGTGGCTTTTCACATATATGCTTTCAGTTTCATCCCTGTTACGTTCACCTGTTGCAATATTTGTCGCTCGTAGAATATTAGCCTTTACCAAAAAAATGGATTCTAATAATTATAGTCAAGGTTGTATAGTGGTTTAAACTCGTACTTTATAAATAACATGAAAGAATGTAATTATACAGCGTCCCGTTCGCGAAATGAATTTCATTAATTTGAAAATCCTAGATACTAGCAAGAAGCGCTCCTGTTGGTGAAGTATCGCGATAACACAGCGCGGTGATCTGAGATCTCGGAGCGGAAACTCGGCCTCTATTCGGCGGCGGACCCGTCTGGTGCCAGTGTTTCAGCATGAAGGTGAGGGGGCAGGATATGTTTTTTACGTCTTTCTTTTTCAAAACTTAAAATGCCCGCCTCTTATCTAAGTGCACAATGTCAGCAACGTGACTGCTTTATTTGCGTAGTTATTTAGACGTTTCAAGCGGACCGATGGTGGCCGATCCTTTTTTTTGTGCAGTAGTTGATGTGTAATCAGCCAACATGGCTGCCGCCGCTCACGGAGACATGTGAGTGGGGAATTTTGTGCGCATATTTCAAGCACTTTCAAATGTTAACCTGAACAGCAGTCGTGCATGCCTTGCATCGTAGGGCTTCCAGAATAAACTGTTAGAGGAATTGGCTAAATTTAGGCAGTTTGGTCTCGAATGGTGGGGCGGCAAAGCTCTTTGATTAATCTCGATGCCCGGAACTAGAAAACTAAACGGTAGATAAGTTTATGGATAAGCAAATGCTAATTAAACTTAAGCTGAAGTGTCTTTACCTTATCTACCGGACAGCTGGTACCGAAATGCCGGCAGGTAAATGTTCTTTCCCGGTTCCTTGTGGTATTGCTGTACGGGGCCAATTTCTGCGGTTTGATACTGATGTACCCTGACTGGTCTGTTCGGTATTAACGTGTCGGTTGTCCCTGGTTCTTCTAGCTCAACATCTCTTTCCCGGCCACCGGCTGCCAGAAGCTGATCGAGGTCGACGATGATCGTAAGCTGCGCATCTTTTACGAGAAGCGCATGGCCACGGAGGTGGCTGCCGACACTCTGGGAGATGAGTGGAAGGTGAGGTGTGAAGGGATGGAGAGGTTGTTCTCTGACGCTGGAGGGATGTCCAGTGACATCCCGGGAGGCGTATATAATTGAACTGTTGCTTTGCACACGTGATTCTTCGTTATGCAGCTATCTTTGTGACGGGTTTTGGTTTTCACCGCCAGACGTGCTGTTGTTGGGTTCCAGGGCTATGTGGTGCGAATCAGCGGTGGCAACGACAAGCAGGGCTTCCCCATGAAACAAGGCGTGCTGACGCACGGCCGCGTGCGCCTGCTGCTCAGCAAGGGCCACTCGTGCTACCGCCCCCGCCGGACCGGCGAGCGCAAGCGCAAGTCCGTGCGCGGCTGCATCGTCGACGCCAACCTCAGCGTCCTCAACTTGGTCATCGTCAGAAAAGGTGCTTTTCGTTAACTGTCCTTTTGGTACGCTCGTTTGGATAAAAGCAGTGCCTCTCGACCTAATCCCCGGCTGCCTGAACATCTCTGTACCAGGTGTTTGGTATTCTTAATAATTTGTGCTGGGAGGGAGCAATAATCTGGACTGTGGAGGGTCCACAAGTTGGACTATTTTTTGGGGGGCAGAGGGGTAGTGCACATTTCCAAGACTTCATAGCAGGAGCAGAACACTGGAATGTACTGATCTGACCACAGTCGGGGGAGGGGGGGGTTCGCTGTGCAGTTTAGGTCGAGCAGTGTTTAAGGACCAGCAACAAATCCTTTCATGGAACGTCGACTTAATTTCCCAGTTAAAAGTGCTGCTGTTTATAGCAATGATGCCACAACATTTAATGCTCAGCTGTTACGTTAAATTGAACCCCCCCCCGCACACGAGTAGACCCTTCCTGGCTGACCCGTAGCCTCTAAGGTGGGACAGTGTGTGCGACAGGAACCGCGGAGCTGCTCACCAGATGCGACCTGACCGCTGACCTGTGGCTGGTTGAACTGCATCGCTCCCCCAACCCCTCTCCCTGGAAAAAAAATTACTGGGACTTTATCTGTAACAGAATAAGTCTTCTAGATTTCAGAGTTTTTAAATTCTGGCTTAAATTTGCCAGTTCAACTCCCAAGCCAAGTTCCTAAGCCGGTCCACCTGACTGAAGAAACTTCAGGCTTGTGTCAGGCGTCCTAAAATACAGGGTCCCTCCATTGACCTGCAGGAGGGTCAACAGGGAGTCCTTTGCTTTTGTGTGTGTGTGTGTGTCTGGGCCGGCTGAGCCTCTGGATGACTGTGCGCTTGCGTCCCAGGTGAGAAGGACATCCCCGGCCTGACCGACAGCACCGTCCCCCGACGCCTGGGCCCCAAGAGAGCCAGCAAGATCCGCAAGCTCTTCAACCTGTCCAAGGAGGACGACGTCCGGAAGTACGTGGTGAGGAGGCCCCTCACGAAGGAAGGTGAGTCGGCACGGAAAACGGTGGCGTGTCGATCGCCCGCAGGCTCTGGTCACCCGCACACGAGTAGACCCTTCCTGGCTGACCCCGTAGCCTCTAAGGTGGGACAGTGTGTGCGACAGGAACCGCGGAGCTTCTCACCAGATGCGACCTGACCGCTGACCCGTGGCTGGTTGAAACTGCATCGCTCCCCCAAGTCTAACCCCACTTATATTTACCGGGAGTTCAAAGAGCACAGGCTGCCAGGACGTGCTATTGGCTGAGGAGCTGGTCTTAAATCTTGCACTGTTTCTGTGTGGATCTTTATCATTGGTTGGCTGATGAGATGTGTAAATTTAACATGAGTAGTGGTGCATATTAACCATTTTGCAGTCCAGTAGCATTTGGACAGTGTTTAAATTGTTAGGAAAATGGAAGCCTGTACTTTAAATCATATATTATGATTATATGTTTTGGGGGAGGAGAGTATTCGGTCAAATACAGGAAGCCTGCTGGTTATTTCTGTCTTTTGGTGGGTTAAAGTGCTCGGCCATCTGTCTGTCTAGGCAAGAAGCCGCGGACCAAGGCCCCCAAGATCCAGCGTCTGGTGACGCCCCGCGTGCTGCAGCACAAGCGCCAGCGCATCGCCCTGAAGAGGAAGCGCACGCTGAAGAACAAGGAGGAGGCCGCCGAATACGCCAAGCTGCTGGCCAAGAGGACCAAGGTGGGCGGGTCCTGCAGACTCAGCGCCGTCGCTTGGCTTCGGGGGCGTGTAGTGTGGGTTAGGGTGGGGTCACTTTGCCATGGAAAAGGATGACCGGCACTGAGGCAGAGCGCCCCCGTCTGGTGAGAAATAAGGGCACCGATCTGCTCAGCTGTCATCTGTTAAACTGATCCCCCGCACACGAGTAGACCCTTCCTGGCTGACCCCGTAGCCTTTAAGGTGGGACAGTGTGTGCGACAGGAACCGCGGAGCTGCTCACCAGATGCGACCTGACCGCTGACCCGTGGCTGGTTGAACTGCATCGCTCCCCCAAGCTGCCCCCACCCCCCCCCTCAAAAAAAACTTACTGGGACTTTATATACAACAGGATAATTCTTCTAGTTTTCCAAGTTTTATATTCTGGGTTTTTTCCTGCCTCGATGGTAGCAGATATTGGCATTTCTTGGCCAAGTTCTCCACCCAGTCCACTTGGTTGGTGCAATCTCTTACTCGGAGAGATATGTCCTTGCTTTCAGTTTGTGTGTAGAAGCCATGCTGTTCGGCAGTGCCTAGTTAAAATGGTCTTTTGCTGATTAGAGGCTCCCTCTACTGGCAGCCAATGGTAAAGCTTTGCATCTCACTTGCAGGAGGCCAAGGAGAAGAAGCAGGAGCAGATTGCCAAGCGTCGTCGGCTCTCCTCTCTGCGGGCCTCCACCTCCAAGTCAGAGTCCAGCCAGAAATGAGTCTGATGGACTTTTTACTGTGTAAAAACTCCTCCATTAAAAGTGGCACTCAAACACGTTGTCCTGTCTTTGAATTTCACGCCTGTGATCTGTGCAATCGGTGCTCATGGGAGTTTCATACACAAAAAATGTTCTCTGGGCAGAACGTAACATGGTTGAGTGGTAGCCAATCGGATTGTAGAGGAAGTGGGTCCAACCAATCGGGTTATGTCTTTTTTTCCTGTTCTGCGCTCAGAGCTGTCAGCTGACAAGTTAGGGCTCATTAAGGTGAGTATTCCTCTGGGATTCCTACAGTGTGCATGTCAACAAAAGAAGGGTGACAGCTTCAGCTCAAAGGCCCATTTATTAGTCTAATGGCTGTATACATTTAAACATAATGAAGGACAAACAGAACACTGGACATATGGGGAGGGTGGTTATGCACGTTTGCGACACTTCATAGCAGGAGCGAAACACTAGAATATACAAATCTGACCACAATCGAGCAGGACAGTAAGAACTGCTTTCATCTTTAGTCACCGGCAGCCCGTCCGTCCGTGAGTCACGTCAGGTCTCGTACAGGCTGGAATGTGCAATCGTGAGCATTAAAATTGGTCCAGGTCTTACCCATTGACAACCATCAACTCCAACAGAAGCTGGTCCTTCTACAGAGCAGGTCAGGTCACTGTAAACCAAATGCACAGACTTTACACTGAAGAACACCGGATGTAACGCCAGTGATTCCTGTACTGAAGCTTGACAGTCTTGCTTCTCATTCACACACACGTACGTGCGCTTGTGGTCCCTGTTACTCTTAAGTTGATTAGTTGCTCCAAAAAAAAAAAAAAAGGTAGACGACCTTGTTAATGCATTTGGCTTAATGTGGGGGTTGGTGGCTGTTTTAAGGTCCATGAACCATTTGTCTTGGTTTGAACTCATGTCTTTTGCAGGAAATCTGTTTAGTGGGCCTGTTAATTCCTTCATTATTCTGCTTCTAATTTGCTGGTACTATAAGGTGTTTACTGGTCATTTTAGGTCCTAAGCTCTACAGGCTTTTGCTAGATGCGTTCCTTACCCCCATCCCTGGAGGTTTTTTTTTGTTATATATACCGAAACTGCGTAAAATACAAAAATTAAAACACTTGAACTGTGTTAGTCGTGGCATTTCAGTAGCCACAGTCATAAATTACATCTACTACGAACAATCTTTACAAAGGTGTTTTCCCCGATTTTTAAATTTAAACATCTAGAAATTGAAAAGTAACCCGTTCTTTCCCGGGGGGGGGCAGTTGATGTTAGCATTCCCTAATAGTACAGCCTCTGTCTTCTGTGCTTATGAGGACATTCACAAGGGGGGGGGGGGGTTCCCTTAAACTATTAATGACCATTTACACAACAGGGCCAGATCCACCCTTCACTGCAATGCCCACCCCAAGCTGAACACTGATCATAGTTCAGGGTGGGGGTGCCATGGCCTACAGGAGGAGGGAGGTATTCCCAACATTCCAGTTCCCACATGGGTTAGACCGCACTCACAGCCTATAGACCGTGCCTCTCCCAGGCTAAGCTTAGCAGAAACCCTTTAAGCCCATGGAGGTTCGTAACATCAGACGGGTATAATGGTCCCCTTTTCTCCTGGACCCCCATGTTCACAACGCTATATACAGAGCAGTATAAAAATAGCCCACATGCCTGGCCAGCTCTACTCCATCAAATGACCAGGGCCTGTGGGCCCTCGGTAGCATGAGGGCTACCCACGGCCCAGGCCCACAGCCGCTTAAGAGATTTCATCTGTAGAGATGGTCACAGGGCAAAAGGTGAGGTCCCCGAGGCAACCTTGATGGGTAAACGTGTGTTGGGGGGGCGGGGAGCACAGAGGGAAACGATCAGGAAATTCATACACACAGATGTAACATGGGCAACTACCCCAAAGAAGATGCCAGTTGACGCTCCGCTCACCTGCGACGTTCTCGCGAGTCCAAAAGCAGACGTCGTTTAACCATAAGTAGGATTAGAGAGAAGAGCCCATTTTAGGAGGAAATACAGAGCTTATGCTGTGCATAACAATATACATTAAGCATCTGAAATATAGAAACTGAGCATCACTGCCGAAGAGTGAGGGCTCGATATATTTATACAAAAATACAGATGATGTAATAACTTAAGGCAGGTAAGTGAGGCAGGGCAACCAAAGCCAACTGATACAATTTATGAAGTACCATCTTTGGGGGAAATTTCCATTTTTCTTTCCCAGTCTGCCACCGTGATGCAGTGTGGGTTGGCCCGCTGCCATCCCTGCCCTAATTGGCGTCCAGCAGGGGGCGCACTCAAATAACCAGTGAGCCGAAACACTTGAGGCACCACTGCACGCTGTTGACGGGAGGCTGATCTATTGGGGCGAGGGCCTTCATCTTCTCTGGGCTGAGCTCATTGAAGGCCTGCTTGTACTCGCGGTCGAAGGCCTCTGAGAGGGCGGATGAAGATGGAGCATCAGGAAGGGATACAACAGCCTTAAGTATTTCTTGTCTATGGATGCGCAGAAAAAAAGAGACAAAAGCAACACTCACCGATGTCGATATACTCTGGTCCGAGAGCCACCAGTGCCAGGAATAAGATCTCCCTGTATATACTCCTGTTTAGCAACAAAGATCACTCGCATCACATCTTTCTTCATTAAAGTACAGAAGCGGCTTTTTGGTTTTTTTTGACAAATGACCTAGCCGAACGCTAACCTCCTCCGCTTGACCTCCGGGTGCTTCTTCACCTCCTGGAGGAGCAGGTCGATGGGTGTAGACACACTGTTGCCCTGGATGCTCCTGACAATGCTGTTCAGCAGGGACCTGGTCTCCTGGTAGTCCGTGGGGCTCAACTGGCCCTTCATCCTCACTGCCACAGACAGAAGCCCAAACCATGGTTACAGACTGCATTCTATTGCCAGGAGATGGTGGTTAAGGGACTACATGTTAGCCGGAGAGCGTGACTTTTCTGCTATTTGGTGAACTGTCTTTGAATCGACTGCAAACAGTTGGATGCTGCTAGACTTTGAACTCAGGGTGAGGATGGGGGGGTCGGGTGGGCAAAGAGAATGACCGCCCTGTGGACCAGGATGTTAAGGGAAATGGGTGCCGCGGAGAGCTGGGATGTGCAGGTTTCAGGGACTTACGGAACATCCTCCACAGCTGGTAGAGTGGCTCGGTGGGATCCTGGTGCAGGTTGATATTGTCCCACAGAAGCTGGACATACACCTGCTTGCTGTCCTGGGACAGGGATGTCAGTGGCAGCTGTAGGGAGGCAAAGAGATAGAGAGCACGCCAGTCAAAGAAAGAATACGGGGGAATGAATAATATTAGTAGAAGAAAAAGCATTTGAAAAAAATGGGGTATCATTCAAGTGCAGTGAGCCTCCCCTACCACCAGGGGGTGCATCAGAACCACTGAGAGACTCCTGACCTGCACGCCGTTGTTGCAGTGCTCCGAAGTTATGATCAGGCCTGGCAGGTTGCTGGGTAGGTCTAGCCGGCGAAAGTACCACACCAAGTTCCAGAAGATGATGGGGTGCTGGCTGAGGAATTTGTGTGTGTAGATGACCTGGTCCCCCTCATTCTCCAGCAGCGACTCCAGCTCTTTGCGAAGCACCAGTGGACTGAGGTAGGGCACCGATACAGGGAGCGGGTTGGGCCTTTTCTGCCCCAGTGCATCCTGGGAAGCACAGAAAACATTTACACTGCTGTTCTGTAGTGATGGCCAAATGAAGCTACATGAACCATTTGCAATATTTTTTGACCCCACAAGATGGCGCTCTTGGTTTGCTGTGGGGCATGCTTTGAGCCCTTTTTTTCTTGAACAGAGCATCATCTAGTTGGCCACTAACTGTTCTTCTGGTATACAAAAGACATACTTGGTTTACCTCAAGCTCCTGCCTCAGCAATTGGACAAACAGATAAATTCAGGCAATTCAGTGCGAGTTCAGTACAGATTTGGTCTGAACACTTCAAATATGTAAATAGCTCCACTCTTAACATTAGTAATATCAGCACCAGAGATTCAAGCCACCATGACAGGGTAAGTGGAGGACCAACGCTCACCGACGCCTCCTGCAAACTGCTAGGCAAGCTGTTGGTGGAGACCCCATGGGACGGTCGCTGGTTCAGCTCCAGGCTCTGCAGGGGTCCGCTTACACTGTTGCTGCGGGTTAGGGAGGTGCTCCTTTTTCCCTCGGGGAGATCCACGCGTATATCCTCAGACCCCGAGCTGCTGGTGGAATACGTGATCATGTGACACCTCCTAGCACCTAGACCACGAGCCTTTTCCTTGAAAGATCTACTCATTTTGGACAGTAAGTCACTACACTAAAACCTCTACGGGCACTTAACCACCTTCTCTTTTCCACTGACTTCCGGTCAAGTACCAAAACCTAAAGCGCCAAAGCAACTGGTGTAAGTTTTTGGTGCTGGGTACTGGGGTAGGATGGAACCGTTTTCTTTGTCAATTGGTTATCCAAATAGCCTGCCTATGAAACACAAAACATCTGCTGTCTTGAAGAAAGTTGCAAACTCAGAAAACAACAATAACGTAAAAAGTTATAATACTGGATGCAAGGTTCAACTGAAACACCCAAACTTAAATTGCAATCTAGTTAGGATAACAGATACAAGCCTGATCTTAAGCTAGCTGACTAGTGATGTAAGAATTGGATGTGCATAACATGTGATGTTGGTATTAATATCGCACGTCGTCCAGTCCTACTGTAGCCATTTTTCGAATTCAATACAAAATAGTTTGGGATGTCATTCAGCGCCAATGCCAGCTTTTACGCCAGTGGAAAACCAACAGCTTGAAGTACCCTACTTTTGGTACCTTCTTGAAGTACCAAAAGTCTGGTACCTGGTGCGGTGGAAAAGCGGGCCAAGACGATACTCCCTTAGTGCCATAACTGGTTGACAATGCCTTCATTCCCAGCCGATCTAACAGTGGTCTCCCTACCTCTCATGGACATCTGGGGGCTTCCCTCCTGGGTCTTCATCGAAGCTGATGAGGTCTGTAGGGTCTCTGCTGGGCTCCGTGGACAGGGAGGATGAGGGCACATTGTTGCTGCTGTTGATGCTGTCTCCTGATGTGCTGGGCTTCAGCAGAAAGCTAGGGTGGGGCGTATAGGTCAACACATTACACGGCTTTTTGGGGGTCGCTCGTCCATGAACCTGGTCAACAGGTGATTAGCATCTAGGCTGGATGTCTACCAGAGTGAAGGTCTGCCCTGTTTCTGCTGGTCAAGCTCACCTGGATGTGCCTCGGAGGTCCCTGAACTCCACATAGAGGAGGGGCAGGAAGGTGGTCTTGCAGAAGGGACAGGTGGTGTTTAGGTTGGAGTCGTCTGCTGTCCATCCGGCCATGATCTCCTCATCATAGACCAGAGCCTCGCAGGAACGGCACTTTGAGCAGCTGGACATCAGCACCTACCAGGGAGCACCGTTGACCAATGAAAGACTTCACTGGACCTCATCTCAAAAACAGATGCTCTTCTAATAGGTATGTTTTGCCAAAAAAAAACAAAACAAACATTCTCCCAAGATTTGCTACCTTTTAACATAACAAAATTTCACTAACACCGTCTTGTGCATTCATTCCTTATATAGTAATAAGAATTGTGATTTATAGCCGCCAATGGGAATCAGGGAGTTATGAAGATATGTGCAAGTCCTCCAAGCAGTAGGGGGCAGTAGTCTCACCTCAAGGGCACAGTTCTGGTAGATACTAGAGGAGCTGGCATGATGAGAAGAGCCCTGCTCTAGCTTCTCAGACTCCGAACCCCTCAATGGTTTCCCTGGAGTCATGTCTGTGTAATTAAAGCAACACTAATTAAATATCTACATACATTAACTCACAGGTTATGCACGTCACATGGTAACCTGGCACTTGTGGCCTGTGTGTTCATGGATAAGCAGAGTATTAATGGGTGCACCAATCACTCAGGTATCCATGGCAATGGATGACCAGCTCCAGTGTATGAATGCGTGTATGCAAGGCTTACGGGCTGGGTGTGAGACTCTCGTAGTATCACTGCTACTGGTACTGCTCAGGCTGGTCCTGCTCTGAGTCAGCTCACTGGAGGTCAGGCCTGGCATAAGTGCCCTTGGGCCCGAACCTGCCCGCCCACTCTCCTCTAGCAGGTTCTCATCCAGCCTGGCAGGGAAGCAGCCATCGCCCTGTGGATGATCATCCTAGGAGAGTGGAAGCCCTTGTCATATATCGCTTGCCATCGGTTCCCAGTAAACTTTCACTTTAGCGTACGACTTCAGCTTTCCCGACCGTCACCAGATCCACCAGCTCCACTGGACTCACCTCATCGTCAGAGAAGTTGTAGACCGAGGACACTGCCCCCCACACTCTGCTGGCCACGTTGGCGGCCTGCTTCATGCCTGACTTGAATGTGTCTAACTTGTGTGCAGGGAGCAAGCTGTCCATCTTGATGGCGGAGATGGAGTTGATGACGGAGCCCAGCGATCCACTCGGGGAGGAGCGGACCAGTGCTGACAGGGAGGATGACCGCTGGGTCTGGTTCTTGGGCTTTGCCATGAAGGTTTTCGAACGGGGAACAGCTGGGCTGCGCTTCGAAGTCCCACTGTCCGACCCGGGCTGCTTGATAGGATCAGCTGGAAGACTGGACCTCCTCTCTAGAGATTTGTTCTGCGCAGCAGTGTCTGCTGGAACCTGCTTGGCCGCCTCCTGGTGGAACTCCATGCTGGAGGACTTGGTTCCCAGGGGACTCTTGAGACTCATGTACATCTCAATCTCATCTGCCAGTCTACGCGACGCCACTGAGGCTACAGGCTCTTCGCTCCGCACCGACAGGCTCTCCTCATCCGCTGTGGCCATTATAGACAGGGGGTCAGCGCCCTTCTCCACATCCTCCCTCTCCACCACTCGCGAGTGGGAGCTGTTCCTCTTGGAAGGGTTCCCATATTTCACTTCCTTCCTCCTCACCACCTCTGGATCCATCTTGGCCACAGGGTTCTGCTGAGCTATATCGACTAGCAGGCCAGTTGACTCGGCCAGCTCCTTGACTTCTGGAAACACGCTGTCCTCACCCAACTGCCGACTGTGGGAGTGCCTCAAGCCCTTCTCTGATAGGTCCATGGGTTCGGGAGGCGGCGTCTTATTCCCAGAGAGGGCGGCGGCCAGGATCTTGGCGTCGGCGCCCATTTCCGTCACCATCTGGTCCACACTCTTTTCCAGGCTGCCCTTCTTGAGCAGCATGCCCGCACGGCTCTCCACGCTGAAGCTGCAGCTTCGCTCCGAGAAGGCCCGCTGCCGCTGAAGCTGGGAGCTCGCCTCCCTGGTCCCACCCCCCAGCACGAGGGCCCCGCCCACATCAGGCAGAGCCACTTCCTCGCTCGGGCTTCGGAAGGTGAACAGCTTGCCTCCATCGACGCCTGGTGGACAAAGCGAGATATCAGAGAGGGGAAGTTTCGCCGGTTCGGTGACTCATCAGTATCTCTGCAGAAGGCGGCTGAAGCTGAGGGGGAATATTCAGAGGCAGTCTGTACCTTCCTGAAAACACAGTGAGAATAAATGGCCTTTTATTATCTTACCGCTGGACCCTCTTGCCAGGCTGCTGTCAAAACTCCCCGTGGACAATCTGACGATACTTGGCCCTGGTGACGGCACACCTACTGAGCTGGCGTCGTTCACTACACCATCCCCCGTTCCCTCTACGGGATCTCCTGCAGGGTCATCAATACCTGGCAATTAGCCAGGCATTCAAGCATAAAGCCTCAGCAGAGCAACTCCACAGCGCCATCTGCTGCCAAGACCACCTCATCTCCAGCTTGTAACCATCCCATCCCCTGATAGTGGTTCATCATATTAGCATGTTCTGTTACCTGTGTTTGGGGCTTTTATTTTGCTGGGCAGCTCAGAGCAGGAGGGAGCAGGGAGGCCGAGAACATCCAACACTTCCTGGTGCAGCTCGTCCTTTGACCCGTATCCCTGGTCTGACTGACCACCTGCGAGGACGGAGAACGGCACAGCTATCCTGAGTACCATCAAGCCGGCCCGGAGCCGTCACAGGTCTCTCCGCCCGTCTTTCACATACTGAAGAAGCTGGCACCACATTGAGTGTTACGAATGTTCACGGTCCGATTTCCAAGATCCACACCAGTGTCGATAGAGCAGTATCAAGACGGAGTGAAAAAACACTCATCCGACTGCTTCAGTACAGAGGTGAGATTTATTTTTTATTTTTTTTAAACATCAGACCCTTTACTAGATCAAAGTGCACCACACACACAAACACACACACACACACACACACACACACACACACACACACACACACACAGCTGCCTGGTGGACTGACCCCCTATGCCAAGCCAAGCCTTACATAATACAGAGACTACAGAGGCAGACAACCACCCCCCCATCCACCTCTAAATCAGTGTTTACCCAACCCCATCCTCAGGGACTCCAAGACAGTCCACGTCTTTGTTCAGGTTTGGCAAAAATTTGGACTGTCTGGGAGGGAGCAAGAACATGGACCATCTGGAGATCCCCAAGGACCAGACTGAGAAACGCTGCTCTAGATGAAAAGGGAGATGATGCGGCACAATGCTAAGCCCCCCCCCACACACACACACACACACACACACACACACACACACCATGAAACACCATCAAACAGCCCATGTTCACAAAAGTTGTTTGTAAGAGCTTTGAAAAGCTAAGGTGACAGAAGAGGCAGGAGAGACTGTTCTGAAGCAGTAACATGGCTACTTTTCTCTGAAAAACAGTGAGGCTGGTTAATATTAAGCCAAGCTGTGTGTCTCAGGCGACCCCAGAGCTATCTTCATAACTCCCTGATTCCCATTGGCGGCTATAAATCACAATTCTTACAGTGCCCCATCTTGTCCATCACACTCAGGAGTCTCACCCGTGCTGCCGTGGTTGTCTGTGCCATCGGGCACCACCAGGTTACGTGCAAACAGCGTGTGCTCCTCCCCGTTGACGTCACTGCTGCTGTCTGCACTGCCGTGGCTGATGTGGTCCACGTCGTGCATGTCTGAACTGGCTGCCATAGCCCCAGCACAGCCTGGGGGAGAACGCAGTGATGTCATTTCCCGTTTTCACACGAGGAGCAGTCTTGTGACATCATACAATTTTCAAGCTCCCAACCGCAATGCCCAGTGCATGCAGACCTGCTCTGCACGTTACCTTTGGCACGTCCGGCGGCGATGGCCTGTCTGAAATGCGCCATGGCCCGCACCACGTTGCGCACTTTGGCCCACCTGAAGCGGCCGCTCCTGTTCTGGCTGGGCCAGGGCCCCTCCAGGACGGCCTAGAAGCACCGAGACGGCGGGACCTTTAACCACACAGCCACCCCGAGAAAAACCGAATGCTCCAAAACGACGGAGCACCAGAGCGAAGACAGCCACGGTGGTAAAACCGCAAACTTAGCATCGATCTGACAATGCGACGTACATTTTGCAAGCAGACAAACGGCAAATGCAGAAAATGCGACTGATGGTTATCACTTTTAACTGCCTGCCATTATACACATGTATCAGGCATTCAGTTTATGATGGAACAGTCCCCCCCCAGCACTTCAACCTGACAATCCTCTAGCCCTCCACTAGGTGGCGACCCCGAGCAGAGCAGTGTACCTTGTTGTAGTATCCATAGGTGATTGCATTGGGCTCCACCCCAGCCTTCTTTATGGCCATCAGCACACGCACGGCCATGACGGGCAGACCCCAGATCCCACACAGCTGCATGACCACACGGTAGCACACCTGCACATGGACGACGAGAGACTCCGCCCCTTAGTACAGAACGCACTCGTGATTCACCGGCAAAGCACCGGCACTGAGCCTCTCCGGGACTTGGGGGTACTCGCCTCGTCCAGGACCTCCACCTCCGTGCTCTGCATCTTCAGCAGCACATTGTAGGCCTGCTGCATGGCGTGCAGCTTGGAGCGGGAGGCCCGCACCCCCGCCGGCAGGCAGATGAACCACAGGCTGTAGCAGTGGCTGAACAGGCACTTTGCCCACAGGGGCGGATGAGAGTAATAGCGCTTCGCCATCTTGTAGGCCAGCTTGATCTCCTGCGGTCACATTTCAACAGGCGGGCTGAGGTCGGTCGTCAAAACGCGATTCTGCGGCTTGCGGGGTGATGTGCGCAGCACGAGGCGGATTAACGAGGTTTACACAAGGATTTCTGCAAAATTCCCAGAATATTTCTGACTACTGTTTGTTCTTCATCCACGCAATGAATAATTCAGATGTAAAGTAGTAACAACGGAGAATAATAATGACCTAATTTAGCTAAACTTTGCCAGCACACCTCCTCCACACCTACTGACTAATCGCACTGCTCACTTTAAATGCATTTTGGATTAGCTCTTCATCGCAAACACTTTGGTTAAACAAGTATAAACCACCATTATCCCCTGGAGGCCATCAGTCTAGCTGGTGCAAGAACACAGGGCCGTGCGTGTAATTCACACCCCCGCAATCCTGACGGGCCCCCAGAACAAATCCGCATCGCGTCTGCTTCCGATATCCTGTGAGGATGTTTCCAAAGTCCCTTCCTCTACGAGCCTCGCTCCAGAACAATGGCTGGCTACAAATACTGGGTCTGGATGGTGAGCTGGGGTGGGTTCCGTGCCCTGCGACCACCCCCCCCCCTGGAATACCACCGCGTCCTGTCCCAATTTAACCTCCGGTCCTTCACCCTAACCCTACAACCCAAACCAAATCACCTAGGGCTTCAGCATTTGGATCACTACTGTAGGTGAGACACAGGTTCATTTCTCATGCTCCAAGGAGGAATGTTCTTTAGAGGGGATGTTTCCCTGATGTCTCAGCTAAGGAAGCTCAGCCATGGCAAACGCACCCGATAAAAGCCATGTCACCTAGTCCCCAAGATCCTGCTAGCTTTAAAGAAGGATGACGCTCCTTAAAGCAGTGTTTCCCAACCCCAGGGCCTTCGGGGAACCCCGGACAGTCCACGTTTCTGCTTCCTCTCAGCTCCCAGCGCACCTGTACCAGGTATTCGGTGTTCCTGATTGGCTGGGAGCTGGGAGGGAGCAAAAACGTGGACTGTCCGGGGTTCCCCGAGGACTGGGTTGGGAAACACTGCCTTAAAGGATAATGACCTGGGAGGTCAGGCAGGCAAACCACCAGTGCTATGAGGGGGCGGGGCAGGCTACATGGTGCTGTACATGGTCCTGTACATGGTCCATGGTCCTACCTGCTTGGTCCTCTTAGACAGCAAGGCGGGGCTGCTGGACACGCTGGCACCAGCTGTCCTGCGGCTCAGGGCTGGCCGCAGCTCCTGGGGGCAGTCAAAGAGCTCCAGTCGCAGACGAGGGAAGTTTTCATAGCTGGGGAGGAACAGCAGGTGTGGGAAGCCAGCTGCCATTCATTATCAATCATTGCCAAGTTAACACACCCAACACAACTAATTATCCTGCATATTAATCCCAGGGTAGATCTGTTTACCAGCCTCCTCAACTCCTAAGCTTCCAGAAACTGGAAGTGTCTGCAGCCCACTGCGGCCCTTAAGACTCTAGGCAGCTTGGTTGCCAGGTAACTATCTGCAAATGCACACTGCTATCGCACTGCACACGGGCTACCGCTTGTGTCACTAACGAAGGCGACAGTTTAAAGTTATCTTAAATGAATCAGACTTACAGAGGATCCCACAGATGACGTCTGGTAAACTGGTTCATGTAGCCACACCCACTACAACTAAGTAAATTTCAGCACTACAGTGCAGCCTGGCCAGTAAGTTCATCCACACAGCTGGCCACCAGCAAAATAGGCTGTAAAAATAACTTAGATCTATTTAAGTAAGAAAGGACTGTCAGCTGTCAGCCTTGGCCAATCTGCAGACAACCCGACATTCCAGCTGCACCCGTCCTACATAACAGGCTTTGACACACTGTGTAGCGGCAAGATTATCATACGAGATCCGATATGGAGACTCGGCCTCAAGCAACCAGCAGGAAACTCAAGCGATAAGGCTCAAGGACTGGGAGTGTAGGTCAACTGGCGAACGTGACTTCACAGCATGAAACACACCCTGAAACACACCCTATAGCCTGGATATACCCTGGAACAGAAAAGGCCAAGGCAGAGAGTGGTAGCTATTCGAAGCTGTTAGCTCTCCGGTCCATACTGTGCTTTTAGCTAGAGTGTCCGGATGCTTAGGCAGACACACTGCAGAAATGCAGCGGCCAGGCCTGGCAGTGACTCATTCGGCATCTGATTTGATTTGATTTGACTCATCAGCACGATCGCAACATAGCGGCTAAGGCGATGCCGGCAGAGATAAAAGGGCAGCCACAGCAATCAGACATATGCATGAGGGTTCTGTCATCTTGGCAGCAGAACCCGAGGCAGCGGGCGTCTCTACAAACCATGTGTCTATGTTTTTACTGACCCCCCCCCGACCAAACACTGACCTGTAGCGGACCACTGGCACCTCGCCCTCCTCGGTCGGCGGCTCTGGGGGCATCACGAACACTGTGAGGTCACTGTTCTGAGACTCATCCATCTCTATCAGCCTGGTGTCCTCAACAGTCTCCCCTTCCATCTGCACACAAACACACACACCTCCAGTCACGGTAACATACGGATATGAAGCCAACTGCAGAAGACCACCACACAGCTGGGCGCCACGTGATGGGACTCCACCACGCTTTCATAATCCACCCCAACAAGTGCTCAAGAGCCAGATCATGTGACTCCAGAGGACTGGAACATGTGATCAACACAGAACCAATGAAGCAAGAGATGCTGATATTACCTTGGCTCCTTTATCCGTCACTTTATCGGAGGGGAAGAGCTGAAAGATAACAAAATAAAACAGGGATATCACCAGATTTTTATGGCTGTTGATCATCTTTGTGCCAACGTTAATCTCTAGGACTAAGACAGTTTGCAAAAAAGATTCTAATACAAAGTCAACCATACTCAGTGACAAAAAAAGTTAAGCACCCAGAAGTCATGGTCCGATTTGGATGTCATTTGGGACACGTGCAGACCAGCGATGGATATGTAAATGATTCGATTTGCTAGGAACTGGCACTGCAGTGCCGTAATCGGGAAGCATGGACTGATGACAAGTGGCGTCGTACCATGTTCAACAATGAATCTCGGTTCTGCATTAGTGTATTTAATCATTATGTGTAAGAGTGGGAATTTTCCCATTAATTAAATACTGCTTGTAATTCCCATGGAAAGTTTCCAAGTTGGAATATTTCCATTCTGGAAAGTTTCCAGAAATTTTCCACCCATGTGTAACCCTAGTCAGGAATGATGGTTTTAAACCAACAAAAGGCACGCAAAATCGTTACGCCGAATAACCAGCTCACTTTGTCAATGCAGTCATCAAAGAAGGCCAGGCCAGTGTCTTTGTCACTGACGAACGTGCACTCCTCGATGAAGCGGATGAAGATCTGCGTTTTGGTCAGCTGGGTGTAGAACTTCTGTTGGGCTCGATCTCGGCTCTTCAGGAACCCTGGTGCGAGAAATCGACACGGATGTAGTTAGACCGTGTCTTTCGATCACATTATTCCCATGTGCTGCTGGAGACCCTGAGGCAGCTCTGTAAAAAAAATATTTTTAGAGGAGAATGATGTCAATGATGCCAAGGTCTACAAAGTCGTTATCGACAGCAGAGATCTGGGAAAGGCGGCTAAAGTGTTTTAGAAAGGTGGGCCGTGCTGCTCTCCATTCCATTGTGTCCCCGAGTTCCTCTTGCATTCCGGATCGGGTGCCTGCTGGCCCAATGCACATCCTGTGTTGAAGGCCGCCATTGTGACTGCTCACCCGTTTGTTATTACTGGACCGTGCAGGTCTGAACGAGTGCGGACCTGCCATGCCCCCGATCAGCGGAATTACTTTCCCCCTTAGCGGAAAGGCCAACGCCCTCATGAGACTGAAAACTGACAGACATTTAAAAAGCAGCATTGCAGCACCTTGCAGGTCGTACAGCGAGTCCAAGGCGGTGGCCTTCTCTGAGGGCGCCTGGGTGATGGGCTTGCGGTAGGAGCGGTAGCCCTTCAGGATGGAGGCCATGAAACGCAGGAAGGCCTCCTGCACCTCCATCTCCAGGCCCGTCTTCCTCCTGTGCCAGGTGAAGTCCGCCTCCATGGGAGCCATGTCCAACACCTGTTCCTCCGAGGATGTCTTGAGGACTATGCAGCCCATAGACAGAAGACATAGACAGAAGACATAGACATAGACAGATGCTCACAGTTCTGAACGACCAGGACTCATAACACAACCCTACTGACCCTCTGCTGGATGGGTGAATGAAATCGCTGATTCTACAGAGGCCTCGAGAGAATTATATGGAAAAACCAGCAGTAGATGAGACCCCTATCTCCCATAAACCCATGAGTGGGTGACAAAAGATCGACCGCCCCACCTGTGGTGAGCTGGTGGTACAGACTGCCGAGGGAGTTCAGGAGGTTCTTGCTTGGCTTCTTAGGAAGGTTCTTCCAGTTGCAGTTTCTCTTCTCATCAGACCTGCAGAGCAGACGGAGCGCGGGTCTGAGAGACAGAGGAGAAACACCCAAGTACGATGGGTAGGGTGGGGGTTGGGGGGGGGGTGCAGCGACTTACAGGTAGACGGTGTTGGTGTCCAGGTCCACGCAGACCACGTCGGGAGGGGGCTCATACAGATCGAAGTAGCGGGAGTCCACGCCCACAATGAAGGGGCAGGGGGCGTTGAGTACCCCCGCCAGGGACAGAGGGCATAAGGGGATGTAGGGGCACTGCCACTGCAAGGGGAAGATCATCTGCACAAAGCAAAACGCCGTCACTGCAGTGTCACAAGACAGGGCCGTCGGTGGCCTAAATATCACCTCAGCCGATGTTTGCTCCCACCGTCAGTTCAGTATAAGCTGTTCAGCATAGAACAGTCTGACAGGATTACGTTACTGTAACCCCCGGGCAAGACTACGACTCGCCGGAGCCAAAGACGTTTTAATCACAATTCATTCCCTTATTTGCGACATCAGTGTGAAGGCGAACACAGCCAGGACTGGAAGGAAGCTTCCGGAACGATCTTCCAGGGTTGACAGAGAGGGGAACGCGCCCCCCCCCCCCCGCCGTGGACTCACCGCCACCACCGCCTCAGCCACGCCAGTCAGCACGTCCGGCCGCAGCGAGTGCAGGAGGATCTTGCTCTCCATCAGGACGAAGTGCAGCACCGTGGCACAGTGCTCCGCCCCCAGGTTGGACAGCAGGGTTCTGAAGTCGGCTCCGCTGCGGCGGACGGACGGAAGGGAGCAGAGCCAGGTTAGAACCCTAATCCCGGAAGTCAGACCGCTTCATCATTACGCACTAATGATGCTCCATTCAAAGGACCTACACCTTTAAAAAATAAATAAATAAAATAGCGAACTACATATTAGCCCTCGAAAAAGGGGGTGGGGGGGGTTATACGATATTCTGAGCTGACATGGGATATATGTTGACGGGCATGCAGATGTAATGGGGAAGGACAGAAGTAGGACGAGAACAGTGATTTATGGAGTAACTATATTTAAGAAAACACTGGAAAAAATGCTTTTGCAGACTGACATCTTTGATATAGGACCACATTCTTGTCTCCCTCCTAATTCCTACAGGGTACCTGGCAAAGTTCAGACGCTTTAGCCAGCAAAGATAAACGTGTTTATGTCATAAAAGTATCTACAGATTTAAAAACGACCTGGATCCCCTACAGGATCTTCACTGAGGTCCCCATGGCATCCAGAGTATCGCTTTCAAAACGAAGGGAGTTTCTTCTGGAAACTTCCAGACCTGGGCTGCCGCAGGGCCTTCCTGCCTGTTTTTTCCCCCCCATCTGCTGAGATTTCTGTTACCGGATTAGACAAAGGCTGCCTAACCCACCACTTAGTGTCTGACCAACTCGCTGACTATGCGCTGAAAAGGCCCTGTTGCTTCAAGGCAGGACACTTGATTCACTCGAGGCAGAAGCCCTGCAGGTAAATTTACAATTTACAAATGAAAAGTAGCTGACACCAGTCCCAAGAGGGGGCCTGTTACGGCATCTCTGAACATGCTGCTTAACAGCTGCTGCTTACCGAGATACCAGGCAGTATCCAATCTCAAACGCCCAGCCATTTTGAGTAAACACATCTGCTTTCATTACGCTGGTTCAATCAGCCATTAACCCCCTTGCTTATTGGAGCAGTGTTTCTCAGGCATAAATCTTTAACTGTGAAGCCCCTCCCCCCGCCACCACCACGGCACGTGGCTCTGTCGGAAAGCCCCCGCACAGCCCGCACCGCGCCACGCGGGAATCCACAATGAATGAGAAGACAAAAGCGCAAGCAGAGTTACAGTAGGAACCCATGCAGGGGATGTGAGGTGGTTTTCAAAGACCACAAACCACACTGCTGTCATGGGATCTGTTACTCCGAGCCTCTTCGTGCTGATTGGGCAAGCCGGCCGTGACGGGGAGACAGCCCCTCTCTGCTAATGGAGCCGGCTAATACGAGCCTGGTAAAACTGTTTATTCTCCTGGTAGCTACTGGAGGCTGCTTACATGGTGACAGGCGCTCAGGGAGGTTTTCTGAGTCAGTGCAGCTAAGCCGGGGGGGGGGGGGGGGCAGAGTGGCTGCTTAACATGCCACTGAAGGGAAGGACTGTGCCACTGGGTAGAAGCATGGAGACCAGTGCAGAAGCTGGAATAACAGACAGGCGAATTATGAAGGAGGGAAATGAGATCAACAGATTCCTCTCAGTCCAGCATAGAGAGTAAAAAGATTACTGTTAGACTCTAATTAGACCCGGGCTGCTTCCAAAACTATTAATACCCCCAGAGGACATAGCAGACTGTCATTTGAAGGGGATAGGAAGTGTGATCTGGAAATGAAAGGGGACACTAATGACCGTTTACGTGATTTTAAATAACAGGCCACTAGATGATCATGCGAGATGTTCTTCCTGAAAGGCAGGTGGGCAGGACTCCGGCAGCGAGAACCGCGGGGAAGTAACCAGCAACAAAACAGACCTACCTCAGAGGTAAAGGCGTGCAGACAGGCTGGGAGAGGATCAGGCTGTCGTGAGCGGAGAGCTAGAAGGATAAGCACAACACACGCCGCTCGTCACTCTCTTCCGAAAAGCCGGCAGAGTACAGATAGTTTCTATACTGCATGGGAGCACAGGCCGGGCTGCCGCTCCTGTCCTCCAGAGCTCGGCAGTACATTCCACAGACGTGCTGACGCAGGAGACTCTTATTAAATACAGGTGCGCGGATCAGGCGATCCGGGAACAGACGGACACGTCTCTACTATAAAACGCATTCCGTGCACAATTAGCATGGAGCGCTTCTTTCAGTAATGTGTATTCTGCAGGTCGTCCGTCACCGTAAGCACATAGCGACCCAGACATAGGATCTCACCTGGACCAGAATCCGGGGCCTCTGGGGAGACGGAAAGGACACATTGTGCATAAAGTGGGAGATGTGCCTGTTTGAAAGTGGGGGGGGAAGCCAATTAATTAATTATCACAAAAAAAAACAAAAACAAAAAAAAAACAAAAAGCCACATGATAGACAGTTAGAAGGCAGCACCCAATCAGGGGCTCACAGCATCACATGAGGGTAGAATAATCAAGAACTCATCAAGAAAAGACCCACGATGCTGTACTGAGGCGAATGTATCAACAGACTGAGGGGTATTAAAGGCACCCTGGAGAGGTCTACATGCAAATTATAACCTACTCAGAATTCATGTTCTCAAACATGACTTTTGCCAAACGGATTCAAGGGAATTAGATTGAGTGTCAACGTTTGACGGAGACACGGATCAAAGACGACACGACTGGTAAACGTCAGGCAGCGGATCCAAGCGGGTGGGCGGGGCCTCACTTCTCAATGGGCAGCGGGTGTGGCCCCGAGACGGACAGCTTGTAGAGGAACATGAGGAACTTGCGGAAGGACTCAAAGAAGGGCCACCGGGACAGCAGGCAGATGCACTTGTTGGTGTTGACCAGGCGGTTGGGGATGGGTCGCTTGTCCACCACGGAGAGCAGGCCCAACTGGACTTTCTGCTTCTCGTTTAGCAGCTCCAGCGAGTACTTCTCATAGAACTGGATGGCAGCTCCATACATCTGCAGGGCGAACGGGCACTTAAGACAGTCTGCTCCTGTAATACTTGGCTATAACAGCATCCAGTGCAGCTTACCCAAACACGAGGGGCAGGCTAAACAGCCGTATTACCTAGTTTGTCTCATGCTATTCAAATCCATTTAAGAAATAACGTTATGGGAATAAGTCCAAAACTACTTTGCATGACATTAAGACTAACCCTATTACTACCATCTGTGGTAGCTGAAGAGTTCAGTCTTGATCGCTTCAAGGGTCTGAGCTGTTGGGTTTTTAGCACATACCTTCTCCCCAGAGGACACGGTTAAGACAAACGTGGAGAAGATTGGCAACGGATAGCGGGTGTTGGGTTCCCAACACTCAATCCTGGCTCCCATGGGCAGGCAGAATAGGGGCACAGACTCGGACAGGGGGAAGGACTCATAATCCTCAGCCGGGTACCTGAAGATCAGGCCTGGAATGAAGCACAAGACAGACATACTGAGGTGCGTCGGGCAGACGACCTTCAACGACCTTCAACGTACGGCGACGCTCTTGACCAATCCGAGAGCTCACTGCCATGGTCGGCTCAAGGGGACACCAGTGCGGAGACCAATCAAAACACTGTTACTGTAAACTAAACTAATCACGATAACGCACTGTATACTGGCACCGTGTCAACCAACAAAAGTCTGGCCAGACCTCAGAGGTTTGTCTTCATAGGCGTTACACAACAACTCAGCCCTGATGCAGAGCAGATTGGTGAAAACTGCAAAACCGACAATAACAAATGGAAACAAACAGACTTCTGTTGACAATTTACACAGAGAAAAGCCATTAAGCCAGAAGGCGCAGAACCACACGTGACCTCAACTGAGTCAAAGTCAGGCTGACCAGACAACTATCCCAGAATTACTGAGATGTTAAGTATCCAGAATAGTCTGTCCTGGGTCACCTAAAAAGACATTTGTGCTTTACACATGATAGAAGATGAAAACTCTATACCTTCCTCATTACAGAAATAAATTCAACACAATGTCACCATGAACAGAGACCATTTCCCCAGGCAAACTAAATATAGCAGTAAGAAAAAAAATAAAGTGTAGCTTGGTTTAAACCATGTTGCCTCTAGCAAGGAAGCCGTTACTGCGAATGTACAAGTCTTAATGAGACTCGCTGTGATCTTGTGTCCCATTTGACTTTTAATATTTGATATTTATGGATGCATCTCAGCATAAAAGCTGGTTCATTAAAAGAAATCCAGCAGGAGATCAACAAACACAACCTAAGTCTCCGTCAGGCTTACCCACACATCCCATATCTTACAACCAGGACATACAAGACATGGCAAACAGGCAGAACCTACCTGCTGTATAAGGTATCGAGTTGGACGACGAGACAGACTTCTTGTAGCAGAGGAACACGCTGGAACCCCACTAGATGTTGAAGGAGAAGCAAAGTTAAGGCACTATACAGAGTCCAATCAGCACTCTCTACCCGGAAGCTCGAGCCTCGACAAATCATCCAATCTAAAACGTCACAAGTCATACACCCCTACACCGTGCCGGCTCACCATGCCGGCGTTGAGGTTCTTGACCACCTTGCAGAAGGTGTGTGGCGGCGTCTCGCCTTTGCTGCCGATGATGACGCACACGTCGGTGACAGCCAGAGTGTTTTGCGGCCGGACTGCCGGGGCTCGGCGGAAGGTCAGGAAGATGCGCTGCGAGGTGGCGGAGCTGTTGTTCACGTTGGCGCAGCGGCCGTAGGGCGTGGCCTGAATGACCTCACAGCCCGGGATCAGCCTCTCCTTACCCTCGTAGAGCGCGCTGAAAGATCAGGGCCACCAGGGAACAGTAAGAACCCACTACGATAGGGACGGCAAAACTGTGTGACCGGCAGCTTCAGTGATGGGGTAGTCTAAACGGGACCCTTCAGAATCCAGCACACGAACCACATTTTCTACATAGGCCGTCCAACCCTTCAAGTTTGGCTACACATTAACACACAAATGCACACACCTTTACCTGCAAGTCCATGCAAGGCTATCTGACTAACTAAGCTTGACTCTCTACTGGTTTGTGATGCAACGACTTGGGTAGAGTCAACAGGCGAGTTCAACAGAAGGCACGCAGTTTTGCGCGTTTGAAACACGAGACGGCGCGGGACCGCAGCGTGGCACAAAAGCAAGTCTCCCTCGAGGGCCCCCAAAGAACAAAACAAAGGCGGCGGCATAGAACCCGCTTCCCAGCTGTTACTTCTCCAGATGGACGGAACGGCAGTTTAAAAACAGCTGAAAGATGCGAGTGAGTTTGCTGCCCTCAGGAGACCATGAGAAACACACAAGGCGACAGCAGATCATGGCTACAACGTAGGTGGAGCTGAAACACAGCAGACTTCTCACATGTGGAGATGGACTTGTTTGTCCCACAGGGAGGGCTGGCTTCCTATTCCAATTGCTGGAGTCTCTGCTTTCTGAGTCACTCCCGCCTTTGAGCATGAATGCTATTTCCTATCGTTTCCTTTGCATGGTTTCATTCTTGTTCGTATCTGTCAAAATGACCTCAGGGAGGGCTTAAAGGGAATGGAAACTTCATACAAGTAACAAGCAGCGGGACCTGATTTAAAGGCACACACACGCGCCTGCATACATACGCTCCGAGAGGAATAATGAAGATCTATTTTTGGGAAACTTCAGACTTCAGTTAAACCCCTTGACAGGGAGGCTGGCACAGTCGGGACGTCAATTTGGCTAATTGGAGTTTAAAAAAAAAAAAAATCACAGAGAGCAAGTTTGAGTTACCAACAGGGAGGAAAAGATTCTGACATGGGTCCATCACTGAAGATACTCAAACATGAAAAGAGAGAAGGTTGCTGAGGTCGGTGAGGTTGCTGAGGTCGGTGAGGTTGCTGGAGGACTGTACCATGACAGGCTACCAAGAGTGGACCTGACCAGCCCCCATGATATGGTGAGTGAGTAGTCCTACTGGCCCCCAAACCTCACTCACGCTCTTGGTAAAGAGGCCCACAGATGCAGATGGAAAGCTGGCTCCAGAGAACTGGTTTTCCACCACGAGGATGACAGCAGCACGATGAATAATCTCTGACGCGGTTTTTCATTCTTGATGTGCCAACAACAGTTTTGCTTGTGATAAACAGTTCTCCCGCTACCAGCCCAGGGAAAGGAGGGAACCAGAAGCTGCAGCAGAACTTTCCGGACCTCAGCACTCTTAAGACCAGTGGAGGCATGTAAACGTAAACTCAAAATTAAGTTGTCTTCTAGAAGTTGAATGGTTGTCAGTTTAATGGAAAGCCCCACTGCTCACTACTGACAAGAAGACACTGTTCCCAGAGTCAGGTGCTGTTTTCTGGGGATGTTCTGGAATTGCAGACCTCCCTGCTGGCAGATTTGCCTAGTAAATCACTGCTCCTTCTGCCAGCTTTGGCACAAAATACTCAAAACATATTCAGATTCCACATAGAGTTAGTCATTAGGTGAGAGTTAGTCATTAAGTTCTACTATACAGGAATAAGGACATGCCTCTTAGACAACAATAGGGGAAGGGTTGCTTTGTCAGAGCAGCAACTTCCCTAGAGCTTTAGCATATAGGACAAAAGACAGGAGTTCCTCCTAATGATAATGTACCCCCCCCCACCATCAATTCTCACCCAATGTCGATAAGCGGGGCTTTCTCTCGTCCTCTCTTGTAGCACAGAAACAGCTCTGGGCTTTTCAAACTCCCATGGTTGAGGTTAGCCGGCTGTCCACCTGGAGTGATTTCCACACAGGTGAAGCCCTCTGGTACCGTCTCGCCTGCCGACCGGTTGATAACGGCCAGGTCGGTGATGGGTGCCTTGGGCCCGCTGGACTTGGTCTCCGACAGATCCTGCTCAATCGGGGTGGACTTCTCCGTCAGGCCGGCCACCACGAAGTAGTCCGTAACTCGGTGACCTTTGTCCTCGATCATGGCTGCATGTACTGTAGGTTGAAGGACACAGGTAGTAGGTAACCAGGCATCAGTGACAATCCTGCCGCAGAGCCTTGAGGGAACGGTCGACACTTGAAAAGTAGATCAATGGCTTGGTTAGACATGCCGATCATGATTCAGTCAGTTTCACAAGAAGGCACTCATGTAGGATACCCTTACAGAGTCGGAACTTGATTAAAATTCTTCTAACATTCTTCATTTAGAGAAATGGACACAAGAGAACAGATAAAAGCTTAAACTGATCTGAAAGATCTGAACTGAATGCTGATAGTAGCATAAGTGATTACAGGAGGGGTAAAGCACTCAAGCTTCCCTCAAAAAGCTTTCAGTTTAGCACTGGACATCAATCAAAAGGGATGACTGTCGTCACTCTAAGCTTGGGAATGTAGGAAGCAGACGGCGGAGGATTACCAGCACAAACACTGACGTCGGGCCTATCTGCCCTAATGACAAAACCAGAAAGGTGAAACCTCATAAATAAGGCCGTTTCTCAGCCTCCGTCTGACACGAATCCGATAAGGCCGAGCTCTGGCGGACACAGGCTGCTCCGTCCATGGGTGCTTAACAGTCTGACAGGAGGCTCTTCGCGTCAGAAGCCGGGGAATTTATGGAAATAGATTTATGGTTCTGCGCCATAAACCCCTGATTGCCTTCAAGTCTTCTCAGCTGCTCTGACACGGTTTGCCGCCGATTGGCCCGTGGTCTATGAATATTCACGTGAAATCGCCGAACATGAATTACTCGGACGCCATAATAGCTGTTTACGAAAAGCCACCATCCCGGACTCACAGAAGTATTAAGAAAAGATGCACTCAGCGCAAAACACTGGTTCTTTGTGTGGTAGCGTGCTGGCCGAGCCATTCTGCTTGGATAGTGGGACCACAGTCTGTAATTATCACACACACACACACACACACACACACACACACACACACACACACACACAGCCTGAACAGTAAACATCACAAATGGACACATTTGAAGTCTGAAGTCAGCAGCCTTTCAAGTGGAAGCGAAAAGGACAGGGTCATCCACAATGTACAGGATCTACAGCCGCATGAATATATGACTGGGGCTAAGGAGGCCATCAGGCAGCCATCTTGTGCTCCCGGACTGGCCAGTACACATGCACAGCTTTCATTGACGGTAAATCTAAATCTAACATACAGGTACCGTTTCTAAAATGTAGCATCGCCTTCCTGAAGCCAAGCCGACATGTTTCCCAGATGCACAGGCACCATGCTGGGCTGTCGCGTGGATTGACTCACCCTTTGATCAGCTTGGTAAGAAAAGCCTTTAGCGTATCCTGTGTAATAAAAGGGTCTGCTTCAGGAGAGGGGGGCCATCAGAATAAGAATTATACTCACAGATCATCCCACACAGTGACTGGGTTTGAGATCTAACCCGTTTTTTTCCCCGCAGAACTGAAAGGGAAGGGAAGTCGAATGCATGGTCCTTTGGACCAGCTACAGATGAAAGTCCTGCACGTTGACTGGCCACGTCAAGTGGGAGCGGACCTGAGGTCAGATGTTTCGTGGTGGCTCAGCCGCCAGCATAACCTCACTTTGAAACAGCCTCCAATACGAGGCAAAAGGCGAGTCAAAGAGATGAGTCACGACGTGCTGGCTTATAATTTGGATGCCTGATGTTTATACTTTCGTAAAAACAAATATAAAATTTTTACCAGCCTCGTTTCATCTTTCAAACAAATGTAATGATGTGGAATGCGTCATTATTTAATTGCTACATCTCAAATAAATTAAAAACGAAGACTAATAACATTATTTGGAACTTCTTGTATTTCCAGATGAGGCCTACAGTACTTGATCAACTGAATATAGGTGCTAATACCCTCATGACACATAGCTGTCGTTTGTAAACCACTTTCCAAAATGTCCCTGCTAAGTACACGTCCAAAGTATGGAAATATTTTGGGTTTACTATAAAAGATGAGTCCCATTTTGTTTGTAAAACTTGCCGTACTGAGCTGAAATATAGTGGAGGAACCAGAAACTCGAGACTGAAACTAAAGAATTTTAAACATAAGGGCATCAGTCGTGTGCCTATGCAACTGTAAACTATCGATGACTGACATTTCTGAATTTATAAAAGACAAAGAACATTCGGAATTCTGCTGTTATAAATTTGAACAGTTGATAATACATACAGGTCGTTGCTTTTTTATGTCCTGCAAACCGGTTGATTGTATCGTCACACGGTTCGTCTTGCCCAAGGCCAAGCGATACACAGCCCTACTGGCTGTCATGGAAGAGCCCCATGTCTGGTAAGTCAGGGACTTTCTCCAGGTGACAGTCTGCTGTCCTGCCCAGGACCATCTGAAATGGGTCTTTGTCCTGGCATGCCCCAAAGTTCACTGCATCGTGGCTACATCTACCCAAGCCATGGTCATATAATGATCCTATGACATTTGTGACTTTGGCAGAAACCACGAATACAAAATGATTCTTGCTTTGACTATTTTTTAAAGACACAGATGATGGTTGTGTGTGAGGGGGCAGACTTCCTTTCAATTAATATTTGTATTCATCACTGGAAAATATAAATATGCAAATATGGCCGTTCTGGCTTCTGCCATCTGGCTTACAGTGCGAATTTCCAGACGAAGTGATCCAAATACTGAAGACGTTGGGGAAAACACAACAAAGCTGACATTTCGCTCTGCTATTGTGCTCAGGGTTGTACATTCTTCAGGTGCATGGAAAACTACTTTGTATTACTGCTGGTCAGAACAGCGCAGTGTCTAGTTAGAAAACTGGGTAGGTGCAGCAAAGGTCTCTGCTCTAAGGTCTCTGCTTAAGTCTAAAAAGTGAAATCCAGGTCTTTTCATTGAAATGGCACTTTACAAACCCTCTCCTAGCTCACAGTGCCCCCCCCCCCCCACATGGATTTGGTGGTCCCCTTACCCAAGACTAGTTTCAGTAAGCAAACCTTGTCAATTAGACACTGGTCCAGCCCAACTGCCTTTCTTGGGATTTTAACTGCAACCTGCCAATCATTCATTCAGGGCTTTAATGACAGTGTCGGACTTTTCCCACCGCAAAGCAAAATCCTCTAACTCGAAACTTTCATTTTGAACAAAATGTGTCATTTGGTGTGTTTAGTCTTTATATGACAGTAAGAGTGTTGTTTTGTTGTGCTGTCTTTTCTTTATTTGACAAAAAGTGTTTAAAGTGAGCTGTGAATAATTGGATGGGGGTAGGGGTAAATAAGTTTATACTTCGGCCTACTTTTCAAACATCAAAGACTGGAAATATGTTATGTAAATATGGTGAATGTGAATATGTGAATATGTTTGAAATACACAAAAAAAACAAACAAATTAGGGAAAGGCATCAATGAGGCATGCCTCACTCCAAGGGTGACACGCGTCTCCCTTCTTACAATTTGAGGTTCAACATGTTAACAGAGCCGTGCTTCAATACCAGTAATTAAGAAATTTGCAAAGATCTCCTCTAGGCAGCAGATAGTCCTGTTGCAAAACACGGAGACACGTACGGTGGCATGCTTTACAAGAAAGGCGGGGGTGAAATTTGTCATGCAGAATCCGATAACCTACAGAACTGGTGTCATTCAGTTCCTTCAGTTGTGTAACTGCCCCCCGCCGCCCGCCGCCCACCCCCACAACCAGTCTGCCCCACCCAACCCCCGAGGCTGTTTTGTATTCAGTATCGTACAAACGGCACTGCAATCGATTCCGGCTCCTCAACTTCCAGTGGCTGAGGCTGCTGCGCTCATAACAGCGACCGGGGGCTGAAGGCTGTGTGTGTCGGTGCCTCACGGCTGTAACCGTAGCAACATTAAAATCTGATAGCCGTGGGTCATTAAACAGGCTGCCTGTTGCAGACCACAGGAGGGCTGCACACTAGGGGGGCCGTGAGAGAAGACGGGCCGGTGTGGCCTGATCAAGCCGGCCGGCTCCCAACAGACCTGCTACATTCATATTCCAGTAGCCTGCAATAATCGGCATGATGGTTGCGAAAAGGTATCCCCATTACAGGGATCCGCGGACAAAAGGCAGGAGAACAAGGGGTTAAATAACCCGTGGAAGATCAGGAGGGGGGGGACAACAACAGTGACTCAAAGAGAAGCCGCTATGACTGATGGTTCAGGTGACCGTTGCTATGGCTCTGACCACAGACACGGACACACACATACAGACACAGGCCTGTAGTCATATCTTTGTGGGGACCGTCCATTCATTTCTATGGGCAAAACAAGTAACCAAACAAAACACTTTTGGCATTTTCAGTTCTCTTTGACTGCAGTCACAGATTTTTTATATAACCGAGTTTCCTCCTGAGGGGACCAAAAAATGGTCCCCACAATGTAATGTACATCTGACCCCCACACTCACACACGTACTGCCAGTCGCTCTTAAAGGACACCGCAAGCCAAAAACCATTTCGCTACTTGGCAGAGACGGTCTCGCATGACAGCCCGTTCCCCACCTCTTCCCGAGTTATAAACATACGACTCCTGACTAACTGAGGATAAAGCACGTCTGGATGAGGTAATCATCACAGAAACAGTAAGTACGATGCAGCAAGGATTACGGCAAGACGGAGAGGTCATCCTTCTGGCAGAATGCAGTCTAGAAGGATTATGCCACATCATGATTAACCTGGAATTGCAGAGATGCATACAGTCTTTCATTCCTCATATTCCAGCAAAGATCTGCTGCTGCTTCACGATGCCACCACTGAATGAAACTCTTTATTATATTTTTCCTCACTGCAACTGACCGTAATACATCTGAACTATATTAAGCAAAATCAGAACTAAAACTGGCACAATGGTGGCCAAACTCCCAACTGGGTAAGAAATGAGGAACAGGGTATTCGCAATAACCGGTTTTTGGAGGTGACATCAAGCTGACAAAGAGGAATCGGAAAGACCGACTTGGCTCAGCTTTACCAAGCCTGAGTCAGACCTGCGCTTCTGGGACGCAAAAACTACAGCTGCACCGAGG